ACATTCAATGTGCTGCAGTTCCTTATGAGAAAGAACTGTACTGTTTTGTGAGCAAAAGTCGTTTGAGAACCACCTAACCTGCCAGATGCTAAATGCCTTTTCATGCTCGGCCAGGCATCTTCCCCAAGCAGTTGTACAATGTAGCATAATGAAGAGAGCACTGGATTTGGCATCATGATGCCTGGATGCCAGTCCTGCTACTAAGTAGTTTCGTAATGTGAGACAAGCCATTTTTCAACCTTTCTGAGGCTCAGTTTCCTTATCTGTAAAATAGAAATCATTTTATTCTCTACCTCAGAAGGATAGTGTGATAAAAACATTCTATAACCTAGGCAACATCATAGAAGTGTGCATTACTGTTAGTAAAGGCCCCAGAGTACTTTGTGGTCTTAGTTCTCCTCATATTCCTGATAGGTTAGAGTGGGTTGATAGCAGCCCAGAGAAGATCCAGAGGAAGTCCCACAACACATTGGGAAATTGACCAGTGTTCACAGGCAAGAGTCTGTCCGAATAAGATGGCATGGATGAGCTGGGAGGGAAGGGGATACTCATGGAGCTCAGACCACACTCATCAAAATTGATTGAAGTATTTGTGCCTTCTCCTAAACATACCCAATTCCATGTTATCATCAGGCCTTGGGACACTAACCTGGTCCCTGATATGGCCATTTGACCCTTTGACAAGTCCCTTCCACTCCCTAGGCCTAAATTTCCCTGTCTCTGAAACTCATTTGAGCTGGGGGTTGGTTCTGAGCATTTAGGGAAGGAGCTGTGGTGTAGCAGGAAGAGTGCTGAATTTGGGGATCCGATGACCTGGGTTCAAGCCTCAGTCACACCTCTTGGCTAGTTTTGTGGTTTGGATCAAATCGCTAAACTTACTGGGGCCTCAGTTTTCTAACCTGTAAAATGAGGACAGTACTCCTCTGATAGCCTCGTGTTGTTTGGTCATTTCCGTCATGTCCAAGTCTTTGTGACTCCGTTTTTGGTCTTCTTGGCCAAGAAACTGGAGTGGTTTGCCATTTTCTTCTCCAGTTCATTCCAGATGAGGAAGCTGAGACAGAGTTACATGACTTGCTGGGGTCACACAGCTAGTAAATATCGGAGGCCAGATTTGAACTCAGGAAGATGAGTCTTCCTGACTTTCAGCACTCTATCCACTGTACCACCAGGCTGTCCCGACTTAGCTGTCCCTGATGGCCTCAGTGGCCTCATAGGGTTGTATTAAGGATTCGATCAGGGAACCCATGTAATGTAATAAGAAACATCAGTTTCAACTATGATTAAGATTCTAACTGACCCTTGTGCATCACAACCTAAAGCTAACTGCTGAGCTAGATGGGGGACCAGAAATTTTGCCTCCCATTTGTAGTTTGAGCTAAGTTAAATCAGGTGGATGACATTGATTGTCTTAACTTCTGTCATGTGACAGAGAGGCACTACAAAACAGAGTCAATGCAGAGATTTTTCCTGCATTGCCATTAGCAGTGTAGGATCATAGCTTTGGAGCTGAAAAAGATCTCAGAATCTACATCCCTGCTCCTGTGGCATCTGTGCTCTTTCAAAAGCAAACAAGGCTGCTTGGTGCCACTTAGGCACCCTGCAAACCATGTCCTTCATATGCCCCTCTAATATGCCCACCATCCTGTTGGGAGGACCTTAAGACCATCTTTGAAAGGAGATAGACCAGTGAAGAACACTGAGCAGTGGGAAAGGGCTGTAGACATTCCAGGCCCCACTAAACAGAGCTCAGGTATTAGATTTTTAGGATCAAGGGGTCTACAGAGGTCAGCAGTCCCACTTTTCAAATAGAAGAGACCCAGGGGCAATGGGAGTAGTAATTTCTTTGACTTCCCCTAGGAATTCTGTTAATTGTACAAGAATATAGGGTTCTTAGAGGTAGAGGTTTTTGAATTTCACTTTTCTGCTCTTGCTAAGTATCTCAGAAAGTAGGGAATGAATAGCATTAGGAGTAACTTAAATTAACCTTGAACTTTACTGATAATATATTTGATCCTCACAATGCCCCCCAGTGAAGCAAATAATATAAGTATTAATCCCATTTTACACCTGAGAATCATATGGTGGAAGATGGTGTGGGACGGGTCGCAGTGAACAGTGGGAATGGCTTGTTGAGCAGAATTGGAAAGTAGCAGGATAGTAAAACAAGCAGAGCAGAGTAGGCTTTCCTGGCTGGCTCCTGTTTCCAACTGTCCTTGTAACTTTAAGCTAGTAATTTCCCGAACTCCCCTTTCAGTTCTAAAATGTCAGAACTAGACCTTGGCCCAGGCTTCGTGGTTTTTACTACTCACGACCTCACATTGTTTTAAATAAATAAGAGTTTTCAAAAGTAGAATAAACCTTAAGTAGCTCCAGCTTTGTTTTTCTGTAGGCCAGAGGCTACCACCACCAAATCCAATTAGTGTAATTTTAAGTTATACCTCAATTAAAGAACTAGCCCTCTAGTCAGAAAGACCTGAGTTCTAGTCCAGCTTCTACCACATACCACCTGTGTAACCCAGAGCAAATCACTTAACCTCTCAGTGCCCCTGCAAGCCCTGATAATCTTCACTGATTGAGGATGTTCTCCTTATGACCAGTTGTTTATTTTTTCTTGTGTCCAGTTTTAAAAAAAAAAAATCAAAGTTAATATGTTGAGCCTAGAGTTTGAATAGTAAAATGATGGTCCAAGCCATGAGATCATTTAATCCCCAAAGAGAAAGAACTGCCTCCAGGAGATTTAGGAGAAGACAAGACTTCTGTTTTTAAATCATGGAGAAGGAAGAGCATAGATGACTAAAGAATAGAAGTTAAAAAGGAGAGAAAAGAATTTCAGGCCAATTTGAGGATAATCTTCCAATTAGGACTGTCCAGGAATGAGAGGCCCTTGTTTATGGGACTAGTTCCTCCTTAGTGGAGGTTTTCAAGCAGAGGCCAACCAGATGACAGCTCGTCAGTGTTATTGCAGAGGCGGGATCCTACTTTAGCTGGCACTTAGGTTAGGTGATCTGAGAGGTCTTTGAAAAAGCTGTGGGATCCTAAAAGATTGTTTGCAAAGTCAAATTGTGGAAGAAAAGATCCAGTCAACTGGCATTTAATGAATGTTGTTAGAGATGGGTCAGGGAGAGACCCAGCCTGGCCTCCAGCCTTTTGGATCTTAGAAACTTAAAGGCATTGACCTTATTTCCCACACAACTTTGTCCAAGCCTTTATTCTTAATAGCTGATGTGATCTGTGGGAGTTCCAGTAAAAAGGAATGTGCCCCTGAGGAAGAGGAACATTGGGCTAAGTATGGATTCCAAGGAATGAGATGGGCTGTCCCAGGGTGGTGAACTCATTACCAGAAAGAAGTGTTTAAGCTAGGAATGAATGGCCACTTGTGAGGATGCTGTTGAGGAGATTTCATCCTTGTGATGGAGGCTGGGGCCCTATGAACACCTTTGAAAGTCATGTACTAACCTCTTCCTAGCTTGGACTTGGAGTTTTCACTTCATCTCAAAATGCCATATTCTCTCTCTCTCTCTCTCTCCCCCTCTCCTTCCCCCTCCCAAAACACGTGCACGCGCGCACACACACACACACACACGTACTCTTATATACCTCTCCCCCCACCCCCACCCCACCTCCAGACTTGGATGGGCGCTGCACCACCCATAGACCATTCTGCAAATCCCAACCTCAGTAGCAATCTGCTGTGAGCTTTCTGCCTCTGCTTCAGCATGTCCCTTGCTCAGGCACATGTTCCCCCAGCTGATCCCAGGCGCTGATGAGAGCTCTTCCCGGGCACGTCACGTGGAGTTAACAGCAGAATAAGTTTGCATGATGCTGTAGATGTTTGCCAGCGTTCTGCTATCTAACATGCAGAGACCACCTTGCCAAATTCATTTCCTAGGCTTACTGAGTTATTTATGTTTATTGCCAGAAAATAATAGAAATAGTTGATCTTGCTGAATGAAAGAGCTGAAATAAAGGCAGCCAGTAGTCAGCGGTGCAAACACTTTCCCCATGTTCTTCCTGGGGACCCATAATACATCCTCCCTTGGATTATTCTCTTTGCCCCACTCTCCCTTTACCTTTTGAGAAAAGGACACTGTCACCACAAGTAGCCCAATCTCTATCCATTTGATCACTTGATCAGAAATTGATGTGCTCATACTAAAAAGCTGCCTCCTTGGGAATCAGCAGGGCATGATAGAGTCTTGGGATGGGAAGAAGCAGCCCTGGACCCTGGTGTCAGCTCTGTCACTCAGTCTAGTGGAGTGGACAACATACTAGAAGCCCAGGCTTGAATCTCTACTCTGCTGCCTGACTGACTACCTGTGTAATCAGAGACAAATCCCTTCCCTTCTCTGGGCCTTATTTTTGATTTAGATGGTGTCTGAGGGCTCCTGTAGCTCTGGCTCTAATAATCCCCAAGTCACTTGATGTATTTAAAAAGAAGATACTTTCCAATTCTGCCTGACATAGCATTAGACATTCAGTAAATTCCTTTGGATTGCTGCTTCTGCACACATATACCTTTGCCTTCTCCCACACATATGAAGAGCTATAGCAGTATCTTTATTATAATATATAAAATGCTTTATAAAACTGAAAGCATTATAGGATTGAAATTTTTGTTATTATGATTGTCTTGTCACATGTTATCCAATTTGATTTTTGCAACAGCCCTGTTGAAATTGTACCAAAAATCATCATCTCCAAGATGTGATTCAGAGAGGCTGAGGCCACCCCACTTCTCTGTGCCTCAGTCTTCTCATCTAACAAATTAAGGAGGTGGCTAGATGACCTCCAAGGTCCTTTCCAAATCCAGTGGATTTCTTGAAGTCATCATGAGTGGCTTAGAAATAGGATTCAAGCCCAGATCTTGTGATTCTTCAAGCCCAGTTGCTCCTTCCGTTGTTGCATGCTGCCTCTATAAATTCCTCAAGTTGTCATCAGCCACAGTAGAAAATGCAACCAAACCTACTTAACTTGGTTTCTCCTTTATTGGTGTCTTTCAGGTTGACTTCGCAGGGACCCACAATCTCTTCAGTATGTGCATAGAGGGAAGCAGACGATCAAGAAGTGGCTGGGTGGCTGATGGGCGCTCTCTGGACAGCTGGATCTCTAGCTATGTGAAGCTTTTGTTTGGGGGGTGGTTGTGGTTTTTTCTGTTTGATTTTTTTTTTCCCCTCCTTTCAATTTTTCTTTACCTTTTTTTTGGGAAGCCAATTGAGACTTCAGAAGAGCAGAAGCTATTCCGATGGACAGGCACCAGTTTGTTTAAAGCCAATTCAATATGGACATAGCATATGTGTACTTTTTTTTTTTTTTCAGATGGGGTCGGGGAAGGATTTTTGTTCATCTTTTCTTTTTTTCTCCTTTTCTTCCTTTGTCTCTCAGTCTTGCTTTTTCAAACAACAACTCATTAAGAAAGATCCCTTTGTCCAGCCTTTCACCATCAAACCCATTCAAAGCCAGGAGGACTTTTCCTAAAGGCTGCTTCTGCTGGTGTGAAACAAGGGTCCCTTCCTCTCAAATCCCTTCCCTTGGTCAGCCAGGAACTGTTCTGGCCTGAGGATGATCCTTCCTGTTAGATAACTAGGGAGGGATAAAAGGCCCTGTGTGTCTTCAGTCCTAAGTGATATTTAAGTAGCCAGCACTAACTTATCCCATGGCAGAGGGTAAAAGATGCAAGAGGCAGAGAATGTGCTGGGTCAGACCTGGAAAAATATGAGAGGGCCCAGTGCAGGGTTTGGGGGAGGGTGCCAGTGCCCCCAGTCTCGTAGTATTCTATGGTTTCCAGGAATCCAAACTTCAGCCAGGAATTGGATTCCCCCACTGTTGGATGTTTTATACATACACACTGTCTGTTTGTCTGTCTTACTCTCAGTCTCTCACTCTATAGTGAGCTTCCTGTCTCCAGACTGAGTAGAGCTAAAAGGAGGTTGTAAAAGGATTTTCTTGTGCCCATCTTTATGCTGTGTTTCTTCTGCCAGGGGAATCCAGGAGAGAATCAGTTGTGCCAAATCTTTGCTAGGAAGGCAGCCACGTGGTGGTGTTCTTGGGCTAGTCTACCTGGTGCCCCTTTTAGAACCAGCAGGAGAGGAAGGGTCCTTTCTTAGAACTGGCCCAGTTATAGAGAGTCTGCCAGCAGCATTATCATAGTGGGGACAGACAAGCTGAGGCTAACCCAGCTGGCCTTGCCAACACATCACTGCCTTGGCTGGGTACATACAGCCCCTGGGGCTTGACTGAGAAATCTTGCTATGCCTTGTTCCCAGTAGATAGTGGTGAAAGGAAGTCCCTACTAGGGATCCTATCCCAAAGTAGGGGTGTTTTCCATAGGAATATACTTGCTCTCTACAGAAGGAAAGGACCTACTTAACTAGAGAAGCCCATTTGCCAGCTTAGAAACCTTTCGTGTAATCAGCTTACTACCTTCAAAATTGCCAGATTCTTCACTTTCTTTGTGTGTCTGTACACTTTCACCCTCACTCTCTCACACTCTTTCTCTCCCCACCCAATGTACTTGCCATCCCTGTAGGGTAATTTCCCTCTTGCATTTTCTCTCAGTATGATCAAGTGTTGAGGTCAAGTTTTTTGAACATACATCTTTGTGGTTCCTCTCCATCTCAGTGGCAAAAGCATTATACCCAGTTATAGCCAGGTGGGAAAGGTGACAGATGTTAAAGGAAAAGTCTTTTTTTTTTTTTCTTTTTTCCTTCCTTCTGCCTAAAGCCAGGGAAAATTGACCAGGGATGACAGGGACAAGGAAAAGACATTTTTACTATTTCTGCATCTCCTTTGGTTTGGCAGGCCCTCTAGCCAGCACACCCAACTTGGGACCCTGTTTTCTATACCTATACAATTAAAAAATATCTATTTTCTCAGTTTTCCTGCTGGGATTCTTCTAGCCTTCAAATACTGAGATATGTTCCACACCTGTTGTGGACAGTTAGCTTCAGTCAGCATGATTCAGCGAAACCCTGCCTCAAAGTTGGAGGCCCAGACCCCTGCTTGGCCTTCCATAAGGCAATTCATTTGTTCTAGGTATGACTCTTTGTTTCTCTCTCCAACTTCTTAGGTAGACAGCTCCTTGGATCAGTATGGATACACACTGCTCTTGAAAGTCTGATCTGGGAGAAATCCTAATTAAGATGAAGGCTGTTTCTCTGCCCCCAGCCCTCTTTTCCCATGGGGCAGACTTGTCTCTTCATTCATTAGTGAATGGTAGAAAACAGTCCCATATTCAGTGCCACGAATTCCCCCTTGTCTGCACCTTCCTCTCCCCCCAAGCCCTGCACAGGAATCCCTAATGAGGGTTCAAGGGCTAATTTGTTTTATTTAAAGATTGGTTAGAGTTTAGGATGATTTTTTTCCCCTCTTATCATAAATCTCCTCTCCCAGTTCTTTCGAGGTTCTTCTCAACCTTCCATCTCTCCTGACCTAAACTTTTCCTCATCACCCTTTACTGACTCTCAGAATCTTCCCCTCCCCCCACCCCTTCCTTCCAGGAGGTCACAAAAGCTCCACATTTCAGACATTCTAGTCTACACGTGAGAAAGGTGGTTGTGTCTGGTGTTTGGTAGGCAGCCCATGACCAAGATTTTTGAGTTCTTCACTCCCTGGCCTCCTAGCATAGAAAGCTAGCCTTGCCCTCTTGGCTTTGACCCAAGCGTCGACCAGGACTTCTTTGACGCTGGCTTCAGTGAGAGCCATCTAGTCAGTTCCAAGTGCCTGCCCTTCTACTTGTCTCCCACTATATCCCAGGGCTCTATCTAGAAACCACATCAAAAAGGTACCAGGCTGAATGTTTTTCTGTGCTCTCCTCTGCCCATAACTAGAAAGGCAGGTTGTTTACAGGCCTAATCTAGAGGTTGTTCAGCAGTTCATAGTGTGGCACAATTAAGTAGTTCTTGAAGCAGTTAATGATTGTTCATTCCCTTTACCATGCCCCTTCTATATTACTCTTCTTCTTTCTCCCATACCAGTGTCCTATGCCTGATAGTGGCATTGCTCAATTCTAACAACTATGGCCAATCTCATCCTAGTCCAAAAAGTAAAGCCTTTCCAGGATTTCAGGATCAATAGGTATTCTTGCTTGGCTATTTCTTCACTGTGTAGCCCTTCCCCTATCCCTACTAAAAATCCCTTTTGGCAAACTGGTAACATTTCATTGCTTTTCCAGAGTCCATAGAATGGACTTCACCCTGTGCAGAATATAGAATCAGAAAGGGCAGTCCATCCCAAGGCCCAAGCCTGCATCTTCCCTGTGGAAAGCAGATAGGCCTTCCAGGCTAAATCTGTTTCTCTTAAGGCCAGAGAATCCCAGGGACAGACCATAGTGCCTTATACTGGAAACTTCAGCCTCACAAAGTATATCACACTTTTGTCTTCCTCTCTCCTTCTCTCTCCCCTGTCTGTTCCTCATCTCCCTTTTCTGCTCCAGTCAGCTCTCTTCGTCATCTCCTTCCTGTCAGTGTCTGTGGACACTTTTTATTTCTCTGGGCCTCTTCCAGGAGCAGACTTTTCTGGTGTTTTTAGTTCTCTGAACTGTCAGGAAAAGGCTCTTATCCTGGGCATAAGTAACTGTACAGAATTCTCATGTTCGTGGGAAGACCAGGTTTTTGCCTTGTGACCCACTTCATCTTTTCCCACACCTTCCTGAGGACATTGGTTGCTCTCCTAGAGGAACAGAGACAGGGGCCTCCATTTGGATTTTGATTTGTAGTAAGAGTTTTTTTTTGCAAGTCAGGCTTTCCTGTTCTGTTTCTGCCTCCTCCCCATCATTTCTCTTTGCTGGTAGTGCTGCTGGCTAAGATTCCTCACCTGGGCACATCCCCACTAATGACGAGAGTTGGGAGAATGTCAATGCATAGGAATGTGGGATAAGCCCAGCAGTGCAGGCTGCTGTTCAGGAGTCATTAAACCAGGTTACTTGGCACCCATTGGTGGAAATAATGAACCTGGTTCTAAATAGACTAAATTACCCACTTTGGGGCATTGAAGACAAACCTGGTTGTCAAGCCCCATTTTGTTGGTCTCTTTCTCCCTTTCCCATAGATGAGCAAGTGTCTTCCTCTCCACCATACCCTGCCTCATGCCCAGAGCTGACTTTGCAAAGGCTCTCCTCAAAGTAATATGATTCCCAAGGGGTCTAGGAGTGAGTGTATGAAATTGTTTACTTTTGAAATGTCCTGTTTACAGTAGGGAGGGGCCAAACTCGAGAGGCAATGGGTTGGGACTTTTGAAAGCACAAGGAGTTCAAATCCTTATTGAACACCTAGTATCCTTTGTGATGCAGCCAGCAGTTAGCCCTGGGGGAGGGGTATTGTATTCCTATCCCTCTCTTTTTCCCCTCCTGTTTTCAAAATCCAGAGGTGCTAGGACTAACAGGCCAATAGTCCCCTTCCCAGGTCTTCCTGCCTGTTTTGTGTTTCTCCCCTTCCTCCTCCTTTCGGAATTTTCAGATCCTTGACATATCAGATGTCTCCTTGAACCAGAGTGCTTGGAGCAATAAGGTGTTTTTTTTTTTTTTTTAAAGTAACTGGAGGAAAGTGATGTCCGTATGGATTCTCTTCCTCAATTCTGTTTTGTTTTACTTTTGAAGTCTCAGTAGGCAGGATATAGTCAGGGTTTAAGCCTGCCTGGTACCACAAACGGGCACAAACACCACATCTTGCCCCTCCTCCAGGCTAGCAAATCCCCAGGCTGAGGGAGCAGGGAATACTGCTGATTTGTTTTGTGGGCCTCTTACTGCACACTGACAGCTCAGCTCACCAGCCTGGCCTGGGGAATGTGCCTTGCCTGCCATTGGCCAAATCTATACACACCCCCAGATCCATGCATCAAAGCTGGCTGGGGTCTCTTTTTGCCATTGCTTGCCCAGCTTCCCCTTTCCAGGCCTCTGGTCCAAGATCAGACCCCTGATTATGTCCTTCCTTTCCCATACTTCTTTATGTTAATGAAGTTCAACCATCTTGCAAATGGGAACCTTGAGAGCCCCAGACTTTGGGCATCTGATTGATGATCAGGATAGATAGTGTTGGTAAATTAGACAGATTACTGGCACTTGGAAGCCACAGCACTGGATTAATGATAATGCCTCTGATCTTGCCATGCCCAGGGATTTGGTTAAAGGATTGACTTCCATGTATGATTTCACCTGTTAACAGCCCCATAGCCTGGTCCCAAGTATGAAGGCATAGCAAGCCTTCCACATACTCACAAGAATAACATTAGTAAGTCTTCATGTGCACAGACATCAAAAGCAATAAACATCTTGCTGTCAAGCCCCTATACATTAAACTGGTAGAACTTGATGCCATTGGTTTCAGTGTGATAACAATAAGGCTTTTAGCTGATTCCCTTAGAATTCTGACTCCAGAATAACCCACCTCTGCCCTGGGTTTTACCTGGGTGAATCGATTTTTCTCCCCACTCCTCAACCCCTTTCCCCCCCCAAAACAATTCCATTCAAACACTTAGAGCCCCAGCCAAGAGAGGAGGAGCCCCACCCACCCTCTGTAAAGTTGCCCTACCGGCAGCACAGGGCCTGGCATTTCCACAGCACTTTGAACCCCCAGCACCCTTTTCCCAGGCCACAAGAGAGAGGGAGCAAGGTAGCAAGCTTTGTGTAGGAAACTGAAAAAGCAGGTGGCCACGTAGTTAGAGGAGAGCAAGAGGAAAAAGTCATCTTCACCCCTCAGAGACTCCTTTCCTAAAGAGCTACAGGTTAGATAGAACCCAGTGGCTCCTTCGACACAGTGGACAGGACAGAGGCAGGCAGGTGTGAGGGAAAGGCTTAAACCCAGGCTCAAAGTTAGTTTAAAATACTAGTTAATAAATCTATTTTTCTGGGTTGGTTTTTTTTTTTTGTTTGTTTTTTGTTTTTTGGTTTTTGTTTTTTGGGGTTTTTTTTGTTTGTTTTTTTTTTTTTTTTTTTGCACAGAAGCTGGTAATCTAGGACCTACGTGTGAACAACTTTATATAAATATTTTTTGTACTCAGTTTACTTGGGTTGGATTGAAACCTTGTATTTAAGTTCCTCGAACACTGTGGATCCCCTGATGTGTATGAATGGCAGACACTTTGTAAATTAAGAGACGTTTGTGTGAATAAAGCTATTTGATGGGGTTGAAGAAGCCATGTGTGATTTAAATGGGTTCCTGCAGTTTGTGAATTTTTGGTGGGAGGGGTAGGCTGGAAGTCAGAGGCTCTCCTCCACTCTGAGCCCTGCACATACCTAATGGGTACAGCCTTAGAGAAAGAACATCAGCCCCCTGTGAGATCATCAGGCAATCTTATCCTATAGAAGAAAACACTAAAGCCTTAAGATGGGAAATTACTCATTCAGAATCATTTAGCAAGTCAACTTCAAATATCTCAGCTCTTCTGTATATAGGGTGCTAAATCTCGAGACTTGGGGAGCCAGAGGAATAGGAGGTTGTCAGCCCCTGTCCCAGGACTTCCACCAGAACTCAGTATTGGGAGTCTTAAGTTGCAAGGGCTTTTCTGGATGAATGGAAGGTGGATTTGACTGATGGGGGAGGGATCTTTTCCTCAGCACAAAGAGGTCTACCATAGTTGTCAACTCTTGAGGACATAAGAGTTCAGTCTTTGAGCTATAAGGGCTCTCTCTAAGGTACTATAGTCCTACCCCCAAAGTAAAGTGAAATGGTCATGCAAGTAGGGCTGGATTTTGAACTTAGAGCCTCTGACTTTATAATACTGCCTCCTAATCATCTATGTTAAGAGAATGGTTCAGTCTGCAGGGACATTGGAACACAAAAGATTTCAGATCCATAAGAAACTAAAAATTACTCAGAATTACATATAGCTTCCAGGGTTTTACAAAAATTATTTCCTCCCAGCAGCTCTGAAGTAGGACTTCAAAACAACATAGAATGTCAAAGTGGAATGAGACCTCAGTGATAATTCATTTGAGATACCTTACTCCTTTTTTGCCTGCTGGTGGGTCTCTTGTTTTGAATTGCAGGATCTGGGAAAATTTGGCAAGGTGACATTTGGGCCTTGAAGAATAGGCAATATTTTAATCATCAGAAAAGGCGGATGCAGGTGTTCCAGATGGAGATGATAAAATAATACAAGGTGTTTGAGGAATTATAGTGAGAGCTAGAAACGACCTTAGAAGCCATCTAGTGTAACCCACCCCCACCCCCCACACACACATCTGAGGGTAAGCAAATAGGTCCAGAGAAGTAATTTGTCCATGGTTACACTAGTATAAACTGGCAGAGCTGAGATCTAAACTTGGGTTCGAATTTCAAAATGGTATATAAATGGCAAAGCCAGCATTCAAACCCATCTCCTCTTATCTGCACATCAGTCTGGATGCAGGGGAGGATTTCTATAGGAGAGGAGTAGGAGGTGAGACTGGAGACATAGGTTGAGGTCACACTTCAGAAGCCTCAAATGCCAGGCTTGGGAGCTTAGACTGTATTCAGTCTTAGTGCTGAGCCAGCCGGAGGGAATGTTAAGGGGCTAAATCATATATTTGTTATCACCCTTCCCGAATCTGGGTTGGGGAGAGAAGCTGTCCAGAAGATGCCATGACTCTAAGTGGAACTAATCACCCCCAGCCCCAGACCTCAGTAGAGCCTGTGATGTGCTGGATGGGCCCCATTACTGTGCTTTAGGGAGATAACAGAGACAGGCTGGGCCTGGAAACAGTTCAATTGAAGCAGAAGAAAAAGATTCAAGTCTTTGGAATGTGAGTTCCAGAAAAAGATAAGATTCATCTGGGAGTTCTCCATAATCTGTGGGGAGAGCAGGCCAAATTTGTAGGCATTCCAGTCCTAGGATGTGGGAGGCCGGCAGGTGAAGGGCGGGGATTCAAACCCTGCCATGCCTCAGAAATTCTGCTTCAAGGGTTGATGTGGCAAAAAAAAAGACTGGCCACCTGGTGAAGTGCTTCGTTTTAGGAAACCTAACTAAGGATTATGACAAACTGAACCATCTCCAGAGGAGGGTAAATAGAAGGATGAGGGGACTGGAAACTTAACAATTAAACTAGGAATATTTAGCCCGGGGAAGACTTGGGATCTGATAGCTGTCATGGAGAAGAGTAATTATGGGACTTGTCCTGCTTAGGCTGATAAAAAAGAGGAAACAGTAGGTTGACTTTTTCTTTTCTTTTTTCCAAGGACAGATTTAGGCTCCAAGTAAGTTTTAAAAAAAAACAAAACTTGGTAACAATTAGAATGCAATGTCTAAAAGTGGACTTCCTCACACGGTAATGAGTTCTTCATCACAGGAAATCTTTTTTGCTTTTTGGTGAGGCAGTAGGGATTAAGTGACTTACCCAGTCACACAGCTAGTAAGTGTCAAGTGTCTTAAGTCACATTTGAATTCAGGTCCTCCTGATTCCAAGGCTGGAGCTCTATCCACTGCACCATCTAGATGACCCCACAGGAAATCTTTAAGCAAAGGCTGAATGACCACTTGTTGGGGATATGGGTTAAGTTAGATGGCCTCTGGGGTCCCTAATTGTGATGTCCATAAAGCCTGTAGCTGATTCCCTTAGAGCTCTGGCCTTTCAAGATAACCCCCCTGCTCTAGATTTTATAATGTGAATCTCTTCTCCCACCTCCCACCAACCACACACAGTGGAAGGGAAGACTGATGAGTACATACATCACACCAGTAAGGGGAAGGATGGAGAGTATGGGCAGGGATCCCAGTACCCTCCCTCAGGCAGATCTAAGGTGGGCAAAAGAACCTTTTTTTCCTTTAAAGGGCTCACCCATAAGAAAAATCAAAGGCCCTGCACAAGTGAAAAGCAAGTTTTATTTATTTTTAATTGAGAGGAAAATACGTAAATTAAAAAAGTCTTTCACGTATCATATGCACAAAGGTATTTGTTTCTCTTAAATGAGAGGGTGGAGGAGTGGTAAATATACATTTATTCATTCAACAGTTAGTTAACAAGCACTTATTAAGCCCCTACTATGTGCCAAGCACTGTGCTAAGTCCTTCCCTAATAAGGACATTAAAATGGAGAATAACAAAATGCTTTCCAGCCAAACCAGGCAAAATCATTGAAGTGATAGAGAAGAATTTTCTGGAAGAGGTGATAAAAACTTGACTCATTGGAAATGGTACCGTTCTACTTAAATGTAACGGTTTAAAATAAATCTGTGTTGTATAGTTTTTCTTTCGTATGTATTTAACAACAACACAATTAAGCTTATATTTAATTTAAAAATTTGTATAAGTAAATGTTCTGAATGTGTCCTGAATCATATTTAAATATTGTTGGCTCATATTGATTATGGTGCCAGAGCTACACACACACACACACACACACACACACACACACAGTATTAAAAAAAAAAATACAAAGTAATGCAAAAACCAGCCCCTCTTTTCAAGTAGCTTCCAGTCTAATGGGGGAGACAATATACAAACAACTATGTACAAACAACATATAGGCAAAATCAATTGAGGATAGTCTAAGAATTTCTGGTTGTGGCTCTGTGCTAGAATACAAAAGCACGTTAGACACGGCCCTTTACTCTTGGAGTAAATAACTGTAATACAGATGAACATAAGCACCGGGGAGGTATAAATAAAGTAGAGGTTTTCTGAAGGGCTGGTAGAATTAATAGCTGGAGGAAGTTTGTAGGGGAAACTTGATGGGAAAAAGTGAATAGAGCCCTAAGGGCAGTGCTGGAAAAATAGGTTTTAGGGTGAGAGATGGGAGGGAGATTAATTAGGAGGCTGTTAAAAAAATCTGGTGATGAGTGATGAAGGCCTGGACTGGGTGGGTAGCAGTAAAAGTGCAAAGGGAGGAGCTTAGATGTAAAAAGGACCTAGAAAACGTGAGCATTTGCTGTTTTGTGTCAGAAGATGATAGGCTTCCAGTCCTGCTTACCTGGGAGGAAGGTAGTGTCCTTAACAGAGACCAGAGGAGATGGTTTGAAGGAAAGAAACTTGGAGTTCTTACTATGTGTCAAGCACTATGCTAAGCAGTTGGTTTGTTTTTTTGTTTTTTTGTTTTTTACAAAAAGAAAATCAGACAGTCCTGCCCTCAATAAGTTTTATGTTCTAGTGGAGAAGATAACATATATAGGAGATTTAGGGCCGGGTGGGTGTTTTGGTTTGAAACGTTACAGAGATGGTGAATGCAGCCTTAGGGAAGTAGACTGACCTTTCAAGCTGCAGTGGCAGTATTGATTTGATTATAGTACCAGAGCTGGAAAGGGGGAAGAGGAGAGAGGGAAATCACTCATCAGGCAGCACCTTGGGGGCCATTTGGCAAAGCGTAGCATTGGACCTTAGAGATCATTTAATAGCCCATTTTACAGATGTAGAAACTGAAGCCTCCAAAAGGAAGTGGCTTGTTTATTGTCACAGGAAATTAGGGACAAAGCTGGGATTGGAACCCAGATCTCCTGCCCCCTAGGCCAGTCCTTTGTTTAGTCATACCCCGGAACAGACTAACTGACCTGTTCTTGACCCTAGACCACAGTAGAAGAACCAATGACCTAGAATCAGAAGATGAGTTCTACACCTAGCTCTGCCACTCACTAGTTGTATAACTGATGATCAGTTTCTTCTCCTCCCTCAAGCTTAGTTTCTGAACCTGTAAAGTGGGTATAACAGTATATAACAGCATTCATTTTATTTCCCTCACAGAGTTATTATGAGGAAAATACAAACTACCATACTATAGAAACGTGAGCTCCTATTTATTATTTGAATTCGTAGACTCTTCCAGATCTTGCTTCAATCTCACTAGTCCCAATACTGGCCTTATGCCTGCTCAGAGTCCACCTGAAAGGGCTAGCAGGCAGGCAGTGTGTCCTATGGTCTTAGAATTTAGAGCTGGAATGGGCCAGAGAGAGATCATCTAGTCCAACTACTTCATTGTGCAGAGTAGGAAACTGAGAGCTGAAAAAATGAAGTGACTGGCCTGAGGTCACAGCAGGTAAGTAAAAGAGCCAAGACGCAAATATAAGCCCTGGGACTTCAAATCCAGCTCCTGTTCCATTATACTGTGGGGTGCCATTCTCTCATCCCAGGGAATTGGACCTTACCCAGGGCTTCCCACTGGGTAACTGCCTATCATGCTGAACTCTTCTGCCTAGATAGGTGTGGGGGACAGAATGACAGTCACCCC